ATATTAATATATATATAAATATATATATATATATATTATAATTAAACTTAAAAAAAAATTATTCGTTATTGAGGAATATTCTTTATTACATAAGAGAATTAATCTTTTTCAAAAATTTGACAGACATCAAATAAATGAATATCTCCTTAAAATTTATATTTTATACAAACTATAATTTAAACATATATGTTTATTTTATTAAAATATATTTTTTTTTTTAAAAATATATATTTTTTTAAATAAAAAATATGTGTATATCAAATGGTAGTGGGGGCAAGTGCTCCCACTATACATAACCTAGATCTGTCCTTATATATATATATATATTTTTTTTCTTATTATTTCTCTTTCTTAACTAATACTCATACTTTTTTTAAGTAATTAGAATATATGTCCTATACTATTTATCTCTCCTAATTAATTTTCATCTTTTTCTTAATCAATTAAAATACATATTCTTTAAAGAGCTTATAATTAATCATTTAACCAAATTAAGAGAGTACAAATTAATTAAGGATATTTAGTAAAAAAAATAATTAATATTTGAGATCATATAAATTGGGTCTTATATTAAAAATAATTAATTATTCTAATGGATCTTATAAGTAGGAATGAAGGTAGTATTTATATTGATTGTTGTTTTACCATATAAGTAAAGATTTGAATAATTTTTTTCTATAATATCCGTAGTTATTTTTATAACGGCTGTCCTTAACTATTTATAAAATAATGCTTAATTATTTATAGTTATTATATTTGTTTCTAAGGTTGAAGTGGGATGATCACAGGTTGAGTAAACCCAACCATCTCGATCAACTTAACCCAAACACATGTAAAATAGGTGGGTGATTTCTAGGATTAAGGTACTTTCCAAAATGTTGAGCAACTCACAATGGTAAGGGTATCTTGTTAAGAAAAAAAAACTTAAGTATACTTTCTGCTGTTGGTGTAGTTCTTTAATTAGATTTAAAGTTTTACTTTGTATTATGTATTTATATTTAATATAGGTCTCATTAATATATATTTATGTATATTATTATCTCATCTGCCATTTTTGTCAACCATTCCTCTGTTGTAGAAAATTAAATATGGTTTCTTAACTTGCAAAGATTTGTATTTGGTAGAAGTAGTGCTAGTAACAAAGATAGACAAAAACATATTAAATTTAAGGATAAAACAAGCCCATTTTAGAGGACCATTTCCACATTATTTTGTATAGAATCATGATGCAATGTCTCAAACTCAGTAAATTAACAAACAACGAAATACCATTAACTTCTAAAAACTTGGAGTGAGTGATTTATGCTGGTGAAGCCTCCATCAATCATCAGATTCTCTCCACTGATATACCTTGCATCATCACTGGCAAGGAAAAGCACAGCATTAGCCACATCATGAGTGGTTAATTCCACCCCCTGCAAGTTAGCCTTTCTCCCAGTAAAATCACGCACACTGGCCACAACATCCTCAGTTCTCTCACTCTCAGGCAAATGGGCCAAAGGCAAACTTGTTAGGACACAATAAGGTGAAACACAGTTCACTCTTATGCCATGCATCCCCAATTCAGCTGCAACATTCTTTGTGAGCCCCAGAACAGCATGCTTGGACCCTGTGTATGCATGTGGTCCCATGCCACCTTGTGCACTTGAAACACTGCCTATAGAAATGATGGAGCCATTCTTCTTTGGGATCATAATTCGCGCGGCGTGTTTCATGCCGTGGAACACGCCCTTCACGTTTATGCTGAACACCTTGTCGAATTCTGATAAGTCTGCATTGCGGATATCAAGACAAGGTGATCCAGAAACACCAGCATTGTTCACTATGATGTCAAGGGTGCCAAATTTTCCCACGGTGAAGTCCACTGCATTGGAAACATCATCCTCCAGTGTAACATCACAGTGGAGAAAAACAACATTTGCTTCATCGCCAAGGGATTCACAGACCTGCTTTCCAAGGTTGTCTTGCACATCAGCTATGCAAACTTTGGCTCCATGGATATGGAAGAGGCGCACTATGCTTTCTCCAATTCCAGTGGCTCCACCTGTAACCAATGCCACTTTGCCTAATAACCTGAGAAAAAGATAAAGTAGAAAACTTGAAGTCACATGATTGAAACTTGGGAACATAGGTTCAAGGGTGTGAGTCACGCCTGCAGTACTTCCAAGACCATGAAAGTGCTTTTCCCACAAAATGGTCGTTTATTATGTATGAGTCTGTTTGAATATAAGTTTAGAACAACCTTTGAGAACTTGTCTACTAAAAAATACTCTTTATTTATAGTAGAGAAACTTTCAAACATACTTCTAGCTTGTATCTAAACAGACTTATAACAGACTCTATGTATGAGTCTGTTTGAATACAAGTTTAGAACAGTTTTCGCACACTTCTCTACCGAAAAAACCTCTTTATTTTCAATAGGGAAGTTCTCCAAAACTCTTCTAAATTTGTATTCAACCAGGCTTTAACTTTGAAATCAATGGAACATTTGAAACCAAAGATAGGACCATCAATGGTAACTGCCTAAATATACAATTCTAAACAATTGTTAGAGCAACATTGCTCGGAAATAGATAACTCCACTTTTGTAAATTATAGGCAAGTAATAAAATTACACAAACAACTGGATTAAAGGGACTAGCTTAAATCTCCCACTAAATTGAACTTGGTCTAAAAGAATCAAATATTGATTAATCTCTTTTTTGCTTCCAATGTCATCGACCTTTCAAATATTACATCATATGCAGAAAAGGCAGAAAAGGTTCCAATCACAAGCATGACAGATTTTATACCATGTTTTATAGAGTGAAAATGTCATCCAGATTTTAAACATGACAGCAGAATTGTACCATATCAAAAAATATAAACGAGGATACCAATAATTTATATTATTATTCACTTTTGTTAACCTGTCATGATATACTCCGGCTTAGAATTAGTGGGAAAATGGTAAAACATATGTTAGTAACTTAATATATTACATCTATGGAAGACTATTGAATCAAGTTCCCTGTACAAATCATGAGGCTGAAATTGGCTTGAGTTGTGTTAATTCAAAATTATTTTAGAGACTAGCTTGTGTAAACAGAAAGCTGCCTCACCACACTGAAAATGAGTTTGCATGATTAACCTTGACAACCCCAAACCAGATTTTACTAGAGGAATCCCCTGGGCCAATTTGGAATATTCTTCAATGATGTTTAAGACTGAGTTGGCCAAAATTAATTTAAGAAAAAATCCAAACTCAATTGGGTATGAATTTGAAGATTGGCTCAGAAACAGTAGATCTGGGCATCAGAGGAGTCAAATATCTCAGGAAAAATGGGAGAACCAAGAGCTTACATGAAACAAGCCTAAGTCCATTTCAACCACACAAGAACCGAAATTTGATATAGATCTGAATCCGATAGTTCACTTGAAGTGAATAAGGATTAAATATCTAACAAAGAAAATCTCACGAAGATCGGAAAGAATCCCAAACTCAATTAGGTGAATCATAGTGAGAGTAAAAAGCAGATTACTGCAGAAAATAAGCCAAATAGGTGAAAACAATATCAATACAATTTGTAAAAAGACATCTATAACTATAACCATGATGACAAAAACTTTGAATTTTCAAATAGCCTCAGCAGATATCTTAATTCATTTGTTAAAATCACAAGACTCTAATTAAAGCTTGCTGCAACAACAGGTAATGATGCTCCAACAATCAAACTAATTTCCAAGGCACTATGTGACACAAAATCTAATGACACAGAAAAATAAAAAATAAAAAAGAAATAACAAGTTGGATCCAAAACCAAAGACAGATGTTGGTCATCACAAATGAGTCCAAGACTTTGCATGCAGAGTTACCAATAGAAATTGGATACACATAAATATATTCAAAACCAAGAAAAGTTTATGCAGAACTGAAGTGGGTGTAGGGGCCGATAGAAATATTCTATTACCTAGGCGTTGGAGTGGAAGCCAGAACAGGACTGGTAGTGGACATGGCTCTGTGTACTTTCTGTCTTTCTCGTCCTATAATTTTAGGCTTAAATAGAATTTTGTTATATGTAATAATAATATACCATTTCAAAAGATTTTTTTTCTTATAAAATTGATTTTTTTAATTACACCAAAAGAAGACGGGTACAAATAACTTCAATAACTGTATACATTGATGGGTGATTGATTCCTTATAAATTATAAACTCGCGGATTTTCCAGTCAAGAAATTAGTCATAGTTTGTACCATAATATTATTTTCCGTTTATGTTACAAGTATAGTTTAAAAACCGAACCGATCATCAAACTGGTTAGGGTACTAGGTTAATGAATCAAAAGTTGAACCGGTAAGTTTTCTAATTGAACCACATGACCCATTATTATTATTTTTTTTTATAAAATATTCATGTTAAATATATTTTATACTTATAAATTTTAATAAATTCATATCCTATTTTAAATTTTAATTTCTATCTTATTTAAAATTTTTATTTTTATTTTATATAAAGAAATACATAAAAAAAATTACATGTTAAACTGTATATTAATACAAATTAAAAATATAAATAATATATACATATTTAATATGCTTGTAATTGATATCACAAAATAATATATGTAATATCTACATAGATATTATATTATTAAATATATAATTTAAAATTAATAATATACTATAAAAGTTATTTAAGTTGAATATATTAAAAATAAATACATTAGAACAAGTAGTCATTGTTATGTTTAATAAGACTCTTTGTTCTTCCATTAAAAGATCCAATTCTTATTGTTATTTTTGTGGTTTATGGTCCCTAAAAAAAATTAAAAACAAAATTGTGGTTGAACTGATTTGACCCACCGGTTCAGTAGTCAGACCGGAAAATTAACCGGTTCAATCCAGTTTGAAATGGGTTAAATACATAACCGATCCAACTTAAGGTTCGGACCAACTGGACCACCGGTTCATGGTTCAACCGGTCCAATCCGATTTTTAAAACACTGGTTACAAGACACTCGTAAACAAATCACAGATATCTATATTGATATAAATAGTTATTTTAATTAATTTTATTAGTTATATAAAAAATCATAATAAATTAATTTTATTTATTTATTATTTATTATCAAATTATTATGAAAGAAATAAAGATATCATTTCATATAAAAGTTTATGCACGATACCAAAAAGTAAGAAAAAAAACATTTTTTTTCTTCTTAATATTCAACAAAAGAAACACATACTCAAATTCTTTAATAGGAGCAAAAACGGAAAAAATTAACACTTTATAAAAATTATAAATTATCTTATAAAAGGAATCACCATTTCCTTTTTAAATTGTGTCTTATAATAAAAAAAACTAAAAAAAAAGTATAAACTTTTATATATATAT